ATTATTATTTATTATCATTATTTTATAATTTTATATTGTAGGTACTATAGTGCTCTTGATATGAGTATGAAAGTCAATATTACCTATTTCTAGTATACTTAAAAAACTGATAAATCGGTACAAATTTATTTGCTTCTATACAATATCAATACTAGTTAAAAATTGTTTAACGCTGTGTTGGGAATTTATTATTTTTTTATTTGGTTTCTACAATTCATAATTTCCCAACATTAGCTAAATCATTGTACCTATATTTAATTTTTAGTAAGGATATAAAGACTAATAGGAGGAAGCTTCACCCATATGTTAACTAAGAAGGTTGTTAAAGGTTAAAAGGTCGTTAACACAAACACTAAACACAAACACTAACCTGTTTTGCGTGGGAAAAAATCGAGAAATCCAGAGTCATAACTAAGAAACATAATTTTCATCACACTCTGATGTGGAACTCTGGCTGTGAAATATTATTTTTTATTTTTTTCGATATCGGAACTAAGAAAAAAGTTCGTCAAGTTAGAAAAACACAAAAATAATGGATTTTGGAACAATATATTTTTTTTTCGTATAAATGATATYAAAATAATAAAAACGATTTTTCAAAAATAATCTCCTCAACTTATTATATAATAACTTGGAGTCTTAACCATTCCTACCACCAAAATGGTTCTTGCTCAATATAGTTTTTTCTATTTTCTATGATGTACATTTGTAAAATAGAAACAACATAATATTCATGTGTAACGTCCTAATAAGCTACATAACTTGAAGCTAATAATAATAATAATAGTAATAAATTATGTATAAATGTGGGCAGTTTGTAAAATTTATCATATCGTTATAGCTTAACATAGTCTGTGCTTCTAGCGCAAAGAGATTCCTAACGAAGTCAAGGAATTTGATGTATAAACCAGCTATTTGTAGGTTTGTCATACGTGTATTTTTTTTATTTAAGATGATTATAACATAAATTAAAATAAACAAAAACAAAAAATACAAGCTAATACAAAACTAGATTCTTATTGCTAACAACTATATTTTTGGAAATTTGTATAAATCGGAGAAGTTTTTATATTGAGCCGATGAGGTATTTGAGAACATTCAATTATTACATTCAGAGCTGTTTATTATAATGACAATATTTTGAAACAAAAACAAGAACAATCATCATACCGAATAGTTACACATATATAAATATATATTACATAAATATGAAAACATGTTTCCCAATAAGTTAATATCCTTAAAAGTTAAAATRAAAATTGGACTAAATTAATTAAAAACAACAAATTATATCAGGGAGGAATGTCCTTGGTATAATATTGAAATAAAATAAAACGTACACAAAAATGATTGCGCGGAACGTTTTTAATATTCTGTCCATCCATATAAACCTGAAAATGTTAGTTTGAATAAGATTTTTTAAAAGCAAAATCCCGTAATGATCATGTTATTTTTGTGATGAAATACTATTAAATTATTATATTAATTCAAAGGCACCATACCGATTAAATAGTTTTTTCGCATATGGTAGTTTTGACTCTTCAAAATTAAACAGATACTTCTGACAGCCGATTGTCGCATTTTTCATAAATTCGGTGATGTCTATATCTTTGAAACTATAGTCGAACTCTTTGCGATCCACTTCTGGTATCTTATCGATTAATCCCAAAAACTTTGAGTTTTCAAATTTCCAAGCTTTTGTTGTAAAGTAAGATAAAGCCATCGTTATTATATAGATTTTTTGTTGCAAAGGTAACAAGCGCCTAAAATGGAAAAAAGGTATTCAGGTCTATAAAATAAAAATTATCTTCAAATAATAACTTATAATTAGAGTGAGGATTTTAATACTCTAAAAAATATCAAAATATGCAATATAATATACCTATGCGGTTAAAATTTTAAAAATATCAGAATTCGTATATTTAAATATAATAAAAAAGGATATTRTAAATTAATATAGGTATTTCTAGAAATAGTACTTACTTATATTTAAGATGAATAAAAAAAAATTTAAATGTGCAACAAAATAAAATGTAAATTATTTACAAAATAGATATTTATATTAATATTAGTACTTATATTTAAATATTGTAAAAAGCAGGGCTTGAAACCGAAAAAAAATTTTCCTATTTCGATTTCGGTTTCGAATACCGGTATTTATTTTTTCCGATTTCGTTTTCGGTTTTGGATAACGGTATTTATTTTTTCCGATTTCGTTTTTGTTTTCGAATACCGGTATTT